GTCTGAAATGGAGCAAAACTGCTTTTTACCTCAACAGACCTTGGATACTCACACGTGGGGTGTGTAGGGTGTGTTGTTCACCTATCTCCACTCCTGCTGTGACCTCAATCCAATCCACATCGACTGCCAACTCCTGCCTGTAACAGACTTGGTGCTCTCTCAGAAATGGAGTTGACCAGTTGAGAGATATGGGATCTGAATCTCACAGAATTATTGATATGGGTCGGAACCAACTCACTGTGAGTGTGTGTGTGTGTGTGTGTGAGGGGGGAAGGGCTGGGCCTAGACCTGCAGGTACATGGCGACACCTGCCTTCTCACAAAAGGCCTGCTGAGAGCACATGGTTGCATCTGAGAAGTCAGGTCCCTGAGAGCATGCGGCAGAGCAGGAAGGTCTGCAGCCAACGTGGCTGAGCTGATGCAGAACTGGGCAGAGCTCAACGCCATGTAGCTGGGCTGTCAGTCAAGGCAGAGCTGCCCACACAACACCCCTGGAGCCTGTGACTGGCTACAGCACAACTCACTCTTGCCTGGAAGATACCGACCCAATATCCTGCCTGGGAGAGAGAACTGAACTCTATAAATACATGAGACTCCATGTGATCTCTCTCTCTCTTTTCTTGGTGCCTGCACCATGTGAATCATCGCATCTTGTCAGTAACCATTTTTCCTTTCCTCTTTCTCCTTCTCTGTTTCTTCTCTCTTTCTTTACCCTTTTAAACTGTTTTCTTCTTTTACTCTTTTCCTTCTCTTGTGGGTAACTTAAAACCAATGAACTGTGTTTTACTAAAGCTGGTATATTAATTCTGTGGAATGGGTCTTTGTGCTGAGTGTTTTAGTGAAATGCTTTTTCTTGGTTGTATTTTACACCTGTAAAACCTTTTGCCAAAACATCTTATTTTTCTCACTAAATTAAAAGAGTTTCTCTTAGAGAAGAGTGTGTGATTCTTTCTCTGGATGCAAATTTAAGGTTATAATGAACCAAAAGGCTTTTAAAAAGTCTTAAATAAAATGTAACTGCTCTGGACAGTTTATGGCTTAAAATCTGGAGTGTAACACCAGTTGCCTCAAAATTCTCTCTCTGGAAAGTTTCATGGGGTGCAAAGCTACAGACCAAACCTGACTCCCAAATCCACAGGACACAAGTGTCCCTGTGCCCTGAACACCCCCCCAAACCCTCCTGCTGCTGGGTGCCTTTTGCTCCCCTGCCCACCTAAAAGCCCAGGACTTTTGGGTCCTTTTCAAGCCTTCTACTCTCTATTGACCTTTTCTTTCTTGTCCTGGAGCACCACCAGCTCGGAGTCCTGATCTTCACAGATTTCCTTGCCCAGTTTCCCGATTCCTTGGAGAGCCAGTATCATCTCTCCCCATGGAGCTGCCAGTCCTGGGGACACAGCTTGCATCCAGCAGCACAGAAAAAGCCATGAGACACCCCAAAGGGTGGTCAAGGTCTTCCCCAGTCCCCAGATAAAGGGCACCGAGGAGTCAAGTCTCTGAGTTTGTCCCACCATTGTGGTTTCTCTTGCTCCTTCACCATGGAGGAGGAGGAAAAAGAGAGGAGAAGAAGAAGGAGGAGGGAGAGGACGATGAGGTTGGGTGGCTGCAAGGGCACAGTGGGTGGTTGAGGTAGAGGAAGGGTGGTGAAGAACATCCTCCCTTGGCTTGACTCTGCTCCTCCAGGGAGGTGGGACTCGAGAATTCTTCCTTAAAATGCTCCTTTTGGCCAAAGAACCCTTGGTACCATCGCAGCCCCCAGGGTCTACTTGCAGGAGAAGCCCCCAAGGTCCCACCTGAGCCTCTCCCAGCAGAACCAGGTTGGAAGGGGGTCACCTGGGGGTCTCTGCCCCTGGGGCTTGCAGAAGTACCACACCAGGGATGGGAAGATGCATTGCTCCAGTTGGTTCCTGCCCTCAGGAACAATCTCATTGTTGGGATTGTTCAGCTGTGGAGAGCTCTGAAAAACTGGGAGCAACAGCCTGTGGAGAGGTCAGTGACCTCCTGGACTGGAAGACCTGGAACCTCCCCAGATGGGCTCAGTTTCCAGCCCTTGGCAGGACTGGGAGTTGGCGGCTGTGGGTGCCTCCAGTCCTTTGTTCCTCCAGGGTCCCAGCAGGGCTCAGGCCTTTCCCTTCCTTCCCCTCCCCTCCCAGATGTGATGGCTCCCCTGGAGCTTCTTAGGCTCCACTTTAGCCACCAAGGGAAGGATCTCTGAGGCAAAACTGTTCCAATTCCGGAGGTTTCTCAGCCTCCCCTGTCCCTTCCCTGCTCTTTTCAAGGCCAGATCCCACATTAGAGGCCACCAAATCCACCCAATGTTCTCCATGACCTTGGAAACCTCAACATGGGGATGGAGAAGCAAACAGACCCCAAAGGTAACAGACCCAAAGGTCTTCCCAGAACCTGAAATAAATGCTTTTCCCCCAAAATACACTCACCAGGACACTACTAGAAGGAGAAAGCCCATTCCCAAAATGCCTTAGATCAGCATAAATGATTTCCCTGATCAATGGTTGGGCCAAACAGAAGGAAAACAGATAGAAATTCATTAAATTAATTCAAAAAGCCTTTAATTGAGGTTCTTGAGTGAGGTTGAAGCATGTCAGGGGCTGGAGCTGCATGATCGCAGGCAGGTGAGCAGGAGAGAGGTGATATTTGGTGTTTCTTCTCCAAAATATGAGCTGGGAGGTACTTGAAAAGGCTTTTGCTGCTGTTTTTGACCCGATATTTGACCTCTGTTTTATCTCGTGGCAGGAGCTCTGATCTGGATCGCAGCAGTGGCTCCAATCCCACCCGGAAGGGGTGAGTCTGGTTTTCCTGCAAGCTACTGAGGAATTTAATTAGCTTAATTTTACTTTCCTTGGATTTGATTGGATTTTACTTGAGGGGGGTTGCTCCTAGGATGTGCCTCGTGTTCTTTGATCTTGTCCCAGTGCTTAATCAAGCATTCCAGATTAGTGGTAGGTAATGTGTCCATTACTTCTTGAGGAATTCCTTTAGCAGCACTCTCCACCCATAAACTGTACCCTTTCGCCCACTAAATAACACATTTTGTTGACAAATACCTGGTGAGGCAGGTTTTTGGACCTTCCCTGCTCTCCTGCTGTGTGTTCTCTGGTCACTTGTATCAGAGAGCTCCAAACTGCTGACTGGTAGCTATTAATTCTTGGGCTACCTCCAACCAGGTTATTCCTGGTGGGGCACCTCTTCTTCTAGGCCTAGGGGTTGCCTTTGTGCACTCTTGTAAGTGTTTAGCACAAACTTTTAGTGCCTCAGGTAGGCCTCAGATCAAGACAGGAAATCTCTGTGGATCCGCCTCGAGTTCCATGGGGGAATTTCATTGTGGTTCCAATAATTTCGTGTGCATTAATTGGAGATATGCGGGTTTTTTTGTACACTTTTACCAATGTGGCCAATTGTGAGGGTTTTAATTGTGTGAGGGTCTCCCCTTTCTATATTTCTCTCCTGCTGTGAGAAATAAAGAATCGGTTTTATTACAAGCAAATATAAGGCGTATCGCGGAGTTTAAGACGCCAGATTCAGCCTGGAACCGGTGTCAGGGAAACATGTGGACAGGAATAGGGAACTGTAAAATGAATATTGGTAAGGAAACCCTTATGACCACATGGCTGGCCCTGGGAGCCTCCATGCTGCTGGACACTCCACCTCCCAGCACGACACACCCAATCAGGGAGAGGGGAACGCCTCTTCTATGACCTAAACAGGGTTGAACCTTAAGAATGTTTAAAAAGCGGGACTTTTGAATTGGAAGGGGTGTTCCTGGGAACCCTACATGCCTAGGACACCCAACACGTGTTGTAATTTTTCCTTTTCGTTTTATTCCTTTTGTTTTGCAAACTTTTGCCTTTTTTCTAAATTTAATAAATGAGATTTTTCTCACACTGCCCAATAAGCAGCTCTCTGGGTCAGAGACCTCAGTGCTCAGTTATCATTTGTGGTCAGGAAGATCCCTGGGCCCCAAAATCCTCGGGCCTCATCCTCACTCAACAACATTTGATCTCCCCCGGTCAGGGACACCCTCCACACATGTTCAGTCTCCGATTCATTACCCTCACAGCTGTATTTCTCCTGAGGTTTGGCCAGGGCTCCCCCCGTGTATGGGGTGTCCGTGTGGTAGTTTACTGAGCTGCCCCTTGGCCAGTGGTTTCAGTTTTAATGAGGGGATGCAGATGTATTACTTCATCCTCTGGATAACTTTGCTTAAGCTCTTCCAATTCCCCAGAGGGGTACAGGGATTTCTTAACATCCACTGGTCTGGGGTATTTTAAATTGATGTCCCGTAGTTCACAATTTTTCATTTCTAGTGCCTTTTTAAGCCTTTCATTTTGCTCCTCCTCATCTTGGAGGGCTGATCAAAGCAACAGATTAATTTCCCTTTCCCCTCCTCAGTAGTTAACTGCAAGCATTCTTTTTCTAGTTGATCCTGAGCCTTCCTTGACTCTTGTAAAAATCTTATCACTTCACTTGAGATTTCTGAATAGCCCATCTCTCTTTTTGAATTGTTCTAAGGACAGCACCTAAAGCAGCACCTACAAGAAGTAGTCCTAATCCAAGGACAGACATCAAGAGAGAATAATCCCCACCTAACTCACCCTGGGGTGTCATTCCTTTTGACTCAGTCATTAACCCAGCTCAGGTTAATGTCTTTCTCCCCCTTAACCCTCTGAGGGTTGGCTTGACTCTCTCCTGGAAAACCTTTCAATAGGTCCAGGCTACACCAGAAAGCCTTTCAACAGGTCTGATGTGCCTGGGTCACATCAAGAGGAGAAAAATTCTCACTATAATTTCACAACATGGGGACGGTCACCATTTGACTCACCCTTGGTGTCAGTTTTGGACTACACCGATTACTCCACCACATCCAAAGGGTCCTTGTCCCTGACACCAAAAATATTACGACCCACCCCAGAAAAGGGGGAGGGTAACCCAGGTTCTTATTAATAAATCCCTTGGGGTGGATTAAACAGAGAAGACACTGAATAATCAGTGTTTAAAAACTTACATATGTAGGGTTTATTTTAGAACAATTTTGTTTCAAAGGTAAACAGGTACATTGCCATTTTGGGTGTTATCATCTGTATCTCTCATCTACAGCAATATGGCATAAAGATAACCTTTGGGGAAAATGCATAAGGGAGAGAAAGGAAAGACAGGAGAAGGGTAAGGGAGAGGAAGGGAAAGAAGAGCTGAGAGTGGAAAGATGTCTATAGTCACTGCCCATGGGGTCCAGCGATGGAACTTGGTAGTTGCAGCTCCCATGTCTGTCAGTTGAAGTGGTGGCCTTGATCCGTTGGGGGTGAGGGAGGGAAGCCCCCACACTCAGGGAAGTTATGAGTTATTATATCCATGGACAGTGTCCCGGGCCATGCCACGAACCCCCAACGTCTCCCAGGCCTGTCCAGAGTTCCCGTGAGGGGCAGGGAAAAGGCTTTTTCCCACCTTCCAAGATTGGCAGGGGAGGATGGGCTTTGATGGGCCATGCCATGAACCCCCAACACCTCGGACAGCCCAGCGCAGAGTTCCTGTGAGGGGCCTGGAAAACTCGGCTCTTCTCTCCTTTTCAGGGCTTGACACCTTCAGCAGCACTGGAGGGGAAGATGGGCCCAGCTGCCCATCAGAGGGATAATGTCAAAGTCCTGCAAAAGCCGGCAAAATCTCCTGGCAATCCCAGAATGCAGAAATCATTGACCGTTTTAGTCTCTGACAGTTTCACACAGGAAAAAAGCAGGAAGTTGATCCATCGGGAAGAGCTGCAGGGGGGTCGGGGTGGGTGGGAGCAGTGGGATGAGCTCTGCCAGCAGCTCCTGCCTTTCTGCAGGGAGAGGGAAGGGGTGGATCCAGCTCCAAGACTGTTCAGGCCATGATTCCTGCCGGGATGAGAGCAGGGAAAGGAGTCACCATGTCCCTGTTCCCATCCCAGGGGATGGAGCTGGTTGTGGAGCCCATGGAGAGTAGGAACTGCTCTGGATTCCCTCCTGATCCTGCTCTGTCCATCCCACCCCAATCCCACCACAATCCCACTCCAGAATCCAGCCCTGATCCCAGTCCACAATTCCACCTGATCCCACTCTGGAATCCTGCCCTGAGTTGGAATCCCCTTCCAACCCAGCTCCAGCCATTAGGCCCCGATTCCCCTCTGGAATCCCGGCATCCATCCTGGGATCCCTGCATAGAGGATCTGGATCCACACACACTGCTGGGACTCACTGGTGGGCGCGGGGTCGTATCCATTTCCCTCCCTCTTCCCTATGGAAAGAAAGCGGGATCAGCACCCGTGGCACAGGATCCCCGTAATGCTGCCGGGCGGATCCGTGCCCCTTCCCGACCCCCATCCCGGGAGTTACCGGATCGGAGCTTCCAGACACCGACTCCCAGGAGGCCGATGATGATGATGATGGCAGCGATGACGGACACAGCCACCAACACCGGGCTGGAATTCCAGACGGATTCCGGTTCTGGGAAGGGCAGGAGGGGCAGGAGGGGGAACAGGAGGAGGGTTACCCCCATCCCGCTGTCCCACACTCCCAAATTCCTCCTTCCCAAATGCCCGGTTCCCACATTGCCCGTTCCCAGCCTCACCCCAGGCGAAGATCCCGGGCTCCGGCATTCCGGTGTGCTCCACCCGGCACCGGTACTGCTCCCGCTCCCCCGGCAGCGCCTCGATCCTGGCCCAGCTGTGGAAGGTGCCGTCGCTGTTGGGAACGATCCCACCCCACTCCGTCTCCTGATCCCGCAGTTCATCCCCCTTCAGCCAGTTGATCCCGATCATCCCGGGGTAGAATCCGTACGTGTGGCAGGACAACGTCAGGATCCCGTGTTCCTCTTTCCCGGACACATGGACATCGGGGGGCTCTGGAATGGGATAACAGTGAGATCCATCCATGGAATTCCCATGGGAATGGGATTCGAGTGAGATCCATTCACAGAATTCCCATGTGGATGACTCAGATTCATCCACAGAATTCCCATGGGAGCTCCTGTGTTCCTCAGTTCCATCCTCCCAAATCCCACATTCCCAAATGCCACATTCCCATGGGAATTCTGTCTCCCTCACCTTTGCGCTCCAGCGCCTCCCGCCCATATCCAACATATTTCCTGAGCCATTCTGGACAGATGTTCTTCAGGTAATGTGTCTGTCTCTCTGCCACGATCCCATCGTGTTCCCATTTCCTCTTGGTGATCTGGGCAGCTCCATCGGCCGCCACGAAGCTCCCGGATCCCAGCTCGAAGGAGATGAAATCCTGCCCGTCGTAGCCTTGCCGAAAGGATCCACGGACGCTCCCATCGGACAGGAGGTCACAGCCACAAACTCGCTGCACTGTGTGGAGACCTGGGGGGTGGGATCAGACCCATGGAGACCCTGGAATTGTGTCCCAGCCCCACGGAGCCCTATTCCAGCCCTATGGAGCCCCAGAGTCCGATGGAGACACACAGAGCCTCATCCCAGCCCCTTGGAGCGCCTTGGATCCACATCCCAGCCCCACAGATCCCCTCATTCCCCGGCTCCCCCCACTCACTCCCACTCCAGTTGTACAGGCCCCGCGCTGTCTCCAGGTCGGTGGTAGCAATGAGCTGGTTCCTCTCATTGATCTTGGTCTCTCTATCCCAATATTCTGGCTCAGCTCCGGCCGCCATCCACGGCGTCTGCGGCTCTGTCTGGCCCCGCTCGCTGTCGTAGCGCTCAAAGGGGATCCCGTCCACATATCCCACGGACAGGTATTGAGGGATCCCTGGGCTGGGCTCCGTCACCATCACATCCACGTAACGCAGGGAGTGGAGAACTGGGGGGACACGGAGATTTAGGGGGTCCAGGGGGGTCATGGGAAGGGGGAACTGGGAAAGCTGGGAGAGCCGAGAAGGGGGTTTGGGGATCCCAGGGCCAAGGAAAGGAGGGTGTAGGGACTGGGAGAGGTGGGATAGGGCATCCAGGGGTCCCTGTGCCCAGGAAAGGGGGGCCTGGGAGGGCCCCAGTGTTGGGGGAAGAGGGGTCATGGGGTGAGGAGACCCAGAATTGCCGGGAATGAGGTTGTAGGGGGGTCCCAGAACCAGAGAGGGGGGTCAGGAGAGTCTGGGTGCTGGATAAAGGGGGGACCAGAAAGGTCCCCATGCCCAGGAATGGAGGGGGTCCCAGGGTAAAGGAAAGGGGATGCAGGGTCTGGGAGAGGTGAGATGGGGAGTCTAGGGGGTCCCTGTGCCCAGGAAAGGGGGGGGCAGGAGTTCCCAGTGTTGAGGAAAGTGGGGTCTAGGGGTTGGTTAAGGCAGGAAAGGGGGTCCAGGGGGTCTCAGGGTGAGGGAAAAGGGGGGTCTGGGAGAGGCAGGATGGCCAGGAAAGGGGGTGCAGGAAGATGCTGGTGCAGGATAAGGGGGTTCAGGAGGGTCCCGGTGCCCAGGAATGGAAGTTCAGGGGGGTCCCGGTGCCCAGGAATTGCTGTCGAGGGCGTTCCCAGTGCCTGGGACCCCCCTGCAGGAAGCACAGGGAGTGGAGAACTGGGGGGGTCACAGAGATTGAAGAGTTTGGGAGGTCCAAGGGTCAAGGAAGCAGAACTGGGAGAGCTGGGAGAGCTGGGAAGGGCCCAAGGTTCAAGGAAAGGGGGGGCTGGGACTGGGAGAGGCAGGATAGGGGATCCAGGGGGTCCCTGTGCCCAGGAAAGGGGGGGTCCAGTGGTCCCCGGTACTGAGGAAAGTGGGGTCTGGGGGCTGGGAAAGGCAGGAATGGGGGTCCAGGGGGTCCCAGGGTCAAGGAAAAGGGAGGATCAGGGGGCTGGGAGAGGCGGGATTGGCAGGCAAAGGGATACAGGGGGGTATTTGTTGAGGATAAGGGGGTTCAGAGCGGTCCTGGAGCTGGGGATGGGGGTTCAGGGGGTCCTGGTGCAGGACAAGGGGGGGTCCCAGTGCCCAGGAATGGGGGTTCCAGGGTGTCCCTGTGACAGATAAGGGGGTGCAGGAGGATCACTGTGCCTGCAATGGGGGTTCAGAGGGTTTCCCATTCCCAGGAATGGGGATTCAGGGGGGGTCTCTGTGCCCACAATGGGGGTTCAGGGGGGGTCCCGGTACCAGATAAGGGAGTTTAGGGGGTCCCAGCGCTCTGGGAGGGGGTGCTGGTGGGTCCAAGTGTCTGGGAATGGAGGTGGGGGGGATTCCCGTGCCCGGAAATGGGGATTCAGGGGGATCTCGGTGCCCAGAACTGGAAACTGGGAGGTCCCAGTGCCGAATAAGGAGGTTTAAAGGGGTCCCGGTGCAGAGGAAAAGGGTGCAAGGGGGTCCCAGTACTCGGAAATGGAGGTTTAGCAGGGTCCCGGTGCCCAGGAATAGGTGTTCAGGGACGTCTCCTTCCGGGAATGGGGGCTCAGAGGGTTCCCGTGCTCAGCAATCGGGATTCAGGGGGTCCCGGTGCGGAGGGAGAGGGTGCAGGGGGGTCCCGGTGCCCGGAAATGGAGGTTCGGGGAAGTGCCGGTGCCCGGGAATAAAGGTTCAGGAGGTGCCCGTTCCGGGGGTCCCACTTACCCTCGGGCTGCCCCCCCGAGACCCCCAGGAGCGCCAGGAGCGCCCCCAGCCCCAGCGCTGGAGCCATCGCACTGCTCCGCTGGCCCCGCTGGGCGCAGTTCGGGAGACGCGGAAGCGAAAGTGGCCGAGGGAGCGCGGGGGGCGGGCCCGGGGGAATTGCCGGGAATGCCCCGGGATCCCCTTCGGGACCCCTCCCGGCACCGCCCCGGGTCCCCCCGCCACCCCCGGGCCCCCTGGACGGGCCTGAGCGGCGGGACCCCCGGGCCGGGCCGAGCTGAACTCGCGGGCCCTGCGCTTAAACTCGGCCTTAAAGGCGCCGCTTTGGGGCCAAAGCGGGGGAAGCGCCGCGATCAGCGGATGCCGCGGGGGCGGGGGGCGATCTCCCTGGGCCAGTGCCCGCCCTGGGCAGTCCCCACTGCCCCCCGCAGGGGTCCCGGGGTCAAGGCAAAGGGGGGCTCCCAAAGCCCCTGCCAGGGGGGAGCGGGAGCTGGGGCAGGAGTTCCGTGGGGAGAGAAAAGGGGGGGACAGCGGGATGGGGGTCCCGGGGGGGCTCACACGCTCCGGGGGGGACACACGACCCTCGGGGACCCCCCTCAGCTCCTCCCGCAGGCGGAGGCCGAGCCCCAGCCCAGGGAGACGAAGCCAAAGACGGAGCCCCGACCCCCGTCAGCATCTTGGGGGGGCGGCGTCCGGGGGCAGCTCTGGGGGGGCGGGGGGGCAGGACCCGGGAAACGGCGGCGGCTGCTGGGAAGGGACCGGGATGGACTGGGATGGACTGGGATAGGCGGGGACAGTCTGGGATAACCTGAGGCAGACTGGGACAGACTGCCGACAGCCTGAGCACATCGCCAGGGCTGGGACTCCTAAAGCAGCGGCTCCGGGCACATCGCCAGGGCTGTTTCCCGTAAACCGCGGCCGGTTCAGCACAGGGAGCTGGGATTCTGGGCCAAGCCGGGCGGGCACTCGAGGAGGCGGTGGCGGAGCTCGGGCGCGGCCCCGGCGCGGTTGGAGGGGCCGGGAGGGGGGTCCGACGGGTTCGTCCCGCCCCGTCCCCTCCCCAGGGCCCGCGCAGGGAGCGGCTGCCCGGGGCTCCTCCTTCCCGCCCAGCCCCGGCGGGCTCGGAAGGAGCCGCTGCCGCAGCAGCGCTGCCTCGTCCCGGCTCCTCTCGCTCCGACCCCTTTGGCTGCCCCGGGCCCGCCACTGCTCCCGCCCGGGGGGGACCGGCCTTGCAGCCGCCTCGGCTGCTGCCACATGGCCCTGCTGGGGCAGGGCTGGCACGGGAGGGGCTTGGAGTCCCTGCCAAGCCGAGCCGGGCTGGGACTGAAAGACGCGGACTGGGATGGACCGGGCTGGGAATATACTGGGATGGGGATGTGGGATGGACCGGGATGGGGGTGTTGAGCCAGATCGGTACTGTGGGGGCTGGGCTGGCCCAGGATGAAGCAAGTTTGCATTTGAGCTCAGTTCTCTCTTCCCAAGATTGCTGTGCCAGATCCAGAGGGAATTTGGGAGGGGGAAGGAGGATGTGAGACTAAGAGGAGCAAGAAGAAGCAGCTTTCTCCTGCCTGTCCTGCTCCATCTCCCCTGGGCCTCCCCCTCCAGCCCAGCCCAGCCTGGAGGTCCCACTTTGGGGTCCCCGTGACCCCCAGGTGTCTCCTTGCAGGGACCCCTCAGGTCAGGGCTGAATTACTCTTGGATTTGCAGACAAAAAGTGGAAATTGCTGCCAACTGATTGGATTCCCTCTCCTTTGGTCACTACAGAAAAGCCCCTTTGAATCACTTCCACGGCCACTTGGGGACTCATTGCCCTTCCCTGGGCAGCAGCAAAAAAAAAGGCCACAAGTATATTGGCCTGCAATAGTTTTGAACTGCTCTTTGGGACACAAAAATCCCTGATTTCCCCAAACCCAGTGTCTTTGGGAGTATTTTCCATGCTAAGTTCCTCTGTTGTTCCTCCTAGGTCTGTTTTCTCCTCCTCTTCCTCCCTCGCCTGTTTTTTGCTCCAAAATGCCCTAAACTGCAGCCTGGGGCAGGAGGAGTTTGGGGGTTAGGAACAGTAAAAAAACGCTTCATCAATGAAAGCTTATTGAAAAATGAAGTCTTTGGGTGGCAAAAATGATCCTTTCAGTTCTTTCTTTGCAGACACAGGCAGAGGGTTCTTACCTGGAGAATATTTACCTATGGAGGAAATGCCAGGTGCATTTCCTGGTAATAATTGGAATTTGTTGATGTCAGGGTCTATGGGAAGTTTCAATAAATATGAAAATTCTTTGCAGTTGCCAGTGCCCCCCCAGCAGCATCCACATTCTGTGCCAGTGGATGCTTGTCCTGTTTCTTTGGGTTCTTTCCTTCCAAATATTCCACAAATGGCTCTGCTGGGGTCAGTTTTGCTTTGGTGAACCTGTGAATTTTGAACTTTGCCTTGGGGAATAGTGCATGGCCAGGGAAAGGCTGAGGAGGGAAAGAATTCAGGAAAAACCATGAACCAGATGGTAAAATGTTCCCGACATGGGAGGTTGGAGCAGTGACAAGAGGAGCAAGCAAAGGCTAGGATAGGAAAGAGTGAACAAAAACCAGCCCTGGGGAAAGGAAGAGGGTTAGAAAAAGGCTGTGACTGCCTGGGGGGGGAGTTTGGGGGATTATCAGCTCTTTGTGGGTTTATATTTGGCCCATGAGGCATCCTGGGAAAGCCCCAGGACGGAGAAGGACCTGCCCAGGCCTCGGAGCTCGGGCTGTTGTCCCAGCTCAGCTCATGGCAGGAGGAGCTGAGGGTGCCCCTGTCCACTCTGTGCCCCCCAGGGGTGGTAGAAGCCCCTCGGGAGGCAGGTCCAGAGGCACCATCCCCTGTCCCGGGGGCTCCCCGAGCTGCCCTGCACAGGGTGGGCACATGGGGGGTGGGCTCAGGTGGGTCTGAAGGGCCGTCCAGCACCTTGGGGGTGACCTGGGGGGCTAGGACTGAAAACCCCCCGGAGCTGTGCAAGTTCTTGAGACAACACCTTCCCAGGGCACACAGAGCTGGCAGGAGCCAAGGTTGAGTTGGGAAAACCAAGCCAGCCCTGGTTCTTTGAAGGCTCAAATCACCTCAAGCCGCTGAAGGGAAAAGGGGGCTTGATGTTCCTGGCAGGAAAGTGCCCCAAACCAGGCATTTGCACTGCCCAATTCCTGACCTGAGCAGGAACTCACTTGGTTTGCACAGACTGGGCTGCTGTGATGGAGCTGCTGCAGCAGAGAGTGGAGGAAGGCACCAGGAAAACCAGCTCCTCTTTTGGGGAGGTTGTTTCAAAGTTGTGCTTGAGTTTAGTGTATGTGGGCACTAAAATCAGTTCAAACAGGCACAAGGGAGTGTTACAGCCCACCCTGCCAGGCCGGAGGAACTTTTGTTTGATTATTGTATCCCTTGGAGTGAATTAAAGTGAACCAATCCTGGATGATCAGTGTTTGCAGAGAGAGAGAGCATTTATTTTAGAGCAGTTGGGTTGCAAAGGAAACCAGGTGTGGAGCCCTTTGGGTTGTGATCCAGCCCCCCAAGGCAATGTAGGAGGGAAAAGAGAGCAAGAGAGAGAAAAGAATAGAAGTTGCAGTCGCCCCTCCGAGGGCTCTGCCCAGCCTGGTTGTTGTCCCCAGGGTCCTGCTGCGTCGGGGAGTGGTGGGGAAGAGGAGACCCCGCAGAACAAGCTGGGGGGGGTTTCTGTCCCTTCCTGGGGCCTCCCCTGGGTGTGTTTGGGGCCACTTTGGCAGGGCCCGGAGGGGCTGGTTTGTGCCAAGTCTTTGGGGCCTGGGCAGGGGGTGCTTGGAGGGCAGCCCTGCTCAGAGGCCTTGTCGGGGCAGTGCTGGGTGTGGGCACCCCCCAGGGGCCTCTGCCATGGCCTGGCCCAGGGCAGAGAAATCTCCAGGCCCCAGAGCCCAGAGAGGCGCCCCAGGGCCTCCCCAGTGCCACAGCCTGGGGGCTCCGGCCTCCTCCCCTCAGCCCGACCCTCCATGGCCTGGCAGCAGCTCCTTTGCACAGCCTGGCCCAGCCCAAAGGCTGCAAGTCCCCTCCAACAGGCCAGTTCCTGCCGGGGAGGAGCAGGGAAGGAAGGCCAAAGGGCTTGGCAAGCTGTGGGGCTGGGGGGGTGCCCATCCCGTGCTGGAAGGGGGCACAGGGGGGATGCAGCCCCAAAAATCCTTGGGTGCCGCTGACAGCACTGGGATCCCCCCCAAACTGAACCTGGAGCCCCCCACGGGCCTGGGGCTGTGCTGGGAGGTGGGGAAGGGACCCGGGGGGTACAAGAGCTGGGGCTGTGGGGTGCTCTTTGTGCCCCTTCCATGGGTTTTGTCCCCACATTTCAGCCTCAGGCCCGTCAAGGACAAAAAGGTGCCCCTGGGGGTCACCGGGCTCGTCACGGGGCTGCTCCTCACCATCACTGCCCTGGGGGAAGTGGCTGAGGCTGGAGGAGCCACCCCAGAGCCTCCTCCTGCACAAACCCCCTGAAAGGAGTCACCCACACACATATGTTAAAGTTTAATTAACATTATCATATTAGATCAGTATTTTGTGTAACAATAATAATAGATATGATTGTATTTCCAACCTGCTTTTAACCAGCAGCAAAGCACAAGGATGGAAGGATGGGATCTGCCTGGAATTTGTAGGGGGCTCGTTAATTTTGGGGGGGTTCCGGCAACTTTTTTGGGGTGTTTCTGGCAGCTTTTTGGGTCTCAGCGCTGCTCCCATCCCACCTCAGAGGGGGGAGAAGAGCAGAGCTGGTGAACCAGGAAACACAGACCTGGTTGGGTTTGGCTACAAAACTCCCCCTTGGCTGGTTTGGCCTTTCTAGAGGCGACTTTGCAGCAGATCCCTGTGGATTTGTGCTCCTGGGAATGCTCAAACACCACAGGAAACATCTGCGATGGGAATGCTCAAACACCGAGGATTCTTGGGCCAAAAGGAGTCTTTTAAGGAAGAAATCTCTTTTCCATGCTTCCAGCATGATCCCACTTGCTCATGGCCACTCCCAGTTACTCCCAGTGTGGTCCCAGTGGCTCCCACTATGATCCCAGTCACCTCCAGCGTGATCCCACTTGCTCCCAGTATATCCCAGTTGCGCCAACATGGTCCCAACTGCCGTCAGAATGCTCCCAGTCACTCCCAGTATGACCCCAGCCACCCTCACTGTGGGCCCAGCATGGTCCCAGATGATCCCAGTTGCCTCCAGCACAGATCCAGTCAAACCAAGTATGGTCCCAGTCTTCCCCCAGCATGGTCTCAGTCAATCCCAGTTGCCCCCTTGTACATCCAATCACTCCCAGTTGCTCCCCGCAGTGTCAAAGTCACTCCCAGTGTGGTCCCAGTCACCTCCAGAATGGTTGCAGACTCTCCCAGTATATCCCAGTTACCCTCAGCATGCTCGTAGTCATACCCAGTTACTTCCACTTGCCCCAGGATGCTTCCAGTTCCCATCAGGACGATCCCACTCACTCCCAGTCTATGCCAGTCTCCTTCAGCATGCACCCTGTCACTCCCAGTTACTCCCAGTTCCACCATACTTCCAGCATGGCCCCATTGGCTCCCAGTTCCCCCCTGAATAGTTCCAGTCACTCCCAGTATGATCCTGGGCACTGACAGTCACTCCCAGGATGGTTCCAGTATGGTCCTAGTCACTCCCACAGTGATCCCAGTCACTCCCAGTCACTCCCAACTGGATCCCAGTTGTCCGTAAGGTGGTCCCAGTTGCTCCCAGCCCCCCCCGGATGGTTCCTTTCCCTCTCAGGGACTCCCACTCTGAGTCCAGTATGGCCCCAGGCACTTTCAGTCACTGCCTGGACGATGCCATTTGCCCCTGCATGGTCCCAGTTGCTCCCAGTATGATCCCACTATGAGTCCAGTCACCTCCAGTATGATCCCAGGAACTTCCAGACACTTCCAGTGGATTCAGTGAATCCAGTTGGATCCCAGTCATTCCCAGTATAGTTGCAGTCCCTCTCACATACTCTCAGTATTATTGCAGTCACTCCCAGGATGATCCCAGTATGAACCCAGCCCGGGCCCAGCTGCTCCCACTATGATCCCAGTTGCCCCCAGTGTGGTTCCAGTTGCTCCCATTCACCCCTACTATGGTTCCAGTAACTCCCAGTATGATCCCAGTCATTCCCAGTACAATACCACTCTATCCTAGGAGAATCTAAGTTACCCCCTGCATGGTCCCAGTTGCTCCCAGTCACCCCACTACAGTTCCAGTCCCTCCCAGTATGATCCCTGTCACTGCCAGTCTCTCCCAGTCTCTCCCAGTCGATCTCAACATGCTCCCAGTCACACCAATTATGCTCCCAGTCAGTCCCAGTGTGGTCCTGGTCACTCCCAGCATGATCCCAGTTGCCCCCAGTGTGGTTGCTCCAGGATGGATCAGGAATGGGGACCACCTGGAGTTCCCCCGCGTCACCCCCTTCTGCGGGGGCTCTGGGGGGGCACCTGCACCCCAACACGGCACCCAGCGCTCCCCAAAAGGGGCCGGGACCCCCCGACACCGCCCCACAGACCCACAAGGACCCCCCAACCCGCTCAGACCCCGCCCAGAGCCCCCAAAGCCCAACTATGGGGAGACCTTTCTGGGCACTGGGGGTGCCGGGAGCCCCCCCGGCTGCGGGGGCAACTCCTCCGTGTGCAGGCAGAGCCGCAGCGCCCAGCGCTCCCCACCTCGAGCCCACCGGCGCCCCCCCCTCGCCCCCAGCGCCCCCCGGGACGGCAATTTGGGCAGGGGGGAGGGGGGGGCGCCCAGGCCGGGCCCCCCCGCGCTGTCCCGGCCGTGGCGGCTGCGGCGGGGGCCGAGTGCGGGCGGGAGCGGCCAAGAGCCCAGCGCTGCCCCATCCCGACCTGCCCCAGCTCCAGCCCTGCTCCTGCCGCGGGAGGCCATGGCTTTGGGGGCAAGGGGGGGGCAAGGGGGGCCCGAGGGGGGCCCGAGGGGGGCCCAAGGGGGGCCCAAGGGGGCTGGGCCAGGGGGGGAAGGGCTGCAGGGGGCGGATCCCGGAGGAGGAAACCCGCCAAAAGCGGCGGCCCAGCCGAGGGAGGAGCCGAGCGGGAGCACAAAGAAGAGCAGCCCAAAGGTCCTGGGGGTGGCTCGGCAATGGCGGGGGGGGCGAGAGCGGTTTGGGGGCCCCCCGTGAGAGCCGGGGGGGAACCCCGGTAGCCGCGGAGTGGGGAGAGCGGAGAGGGGCGATCCCGGAGCTGGGGGACCCCCGGAATGCTGGAGGGGGGGGAGCAGAGAGGGAGCGCCGGGCCCCTTAAGCGGGGGTCCCGGAGAGGGGGAAGGCCTTGGAGTGTGGAGAGGAGGGGGGGCCTTGAGGCGGGGTGGGAGCCGAGAGCGCCAAGAGGTTTGCGAGGGTGGGGGGCGAGAGAGGAGGGCCGGCCGGCCCCGGGAGGCAGAGTGGGGAGAAGTGAGCCCTGGGACCCCCCTGGCAACACTCAAGGGGACCCCGGCGAGTGGGAACCCCCCGGAGCCGCGGGACCCCCGGCAGCCCGGACAAGGGGGACCCCAAATGCAGGCAGAAGTGCCATCAGGCCAGACAGGGGTGTTATAGGTAAATGAAATTTAGGCTGAAATATAGCAGCAAAAGTTTATTCAAGATTTATATAAAATGCAAATAAGCAAAACAGCGCGCTGGACGACCAGGGGAGACCCCTGCTCCACTCGCGGCCCGCAAGCACAGTTGGCAAAAACAGTAACCTTTATACCCCTGTCAATTCCCTCCCATAGTCACTTGTTATCCCTCTATTGGATCCGAGTTCACAGGTCTGGTTCTGGTTGGTTCTTTTGCAGGCCCGCTTTAATTGCCAGGTACTTCCCTATCCATAATCCTCCATCCTTGAGGCCTAGTGTGTGGGTCCCTCCAGATGTCCATCTTGGATCCTCTTTATCATCCTCGTACTTGACCCTTTGATCCTTGTCCTTCCCTTCGTTACCTTAGGCGTACACTTTTAGACAAAATACTTTTAGAAAAACAAGATACAAAATACTTATTCAGTAAGGCACAATAATTTGTCTTGTCAGCTTAAGAACTGCAGCTGCAGAACTATCAGCCTGTAGTACTGACAGATTGATTAACCATTCTGCAGCTTACAGTTCTCCAGCCTTAACAGAACATTGATTACAATAACATATATATGGAAATATAACATGCAATACCATTGAATGAGTAAATTACTTTACTACTACTAATTTGATGAGTAAATTACTTTACTACTACTATTTATTTATACAATTCCCCCCCTTTTTTATTTATTCATAAATTTGCTCATCAAATCTCTTTACAGCTTCTTTGGCTGCTCTCTCCCTTTATGCCACAGCTCATATTTTCATAATCAACCTGCCCTTCCTTTTCTGTATTGCCACTAATGTTCTCATAATTTTGTTTCATAGTCATGAGCTGTATGTTTTCAACTCTGTCTCTGACGAATTTTGTTACTTTATTAAGAATACATGGGCCAAAGTAGCGGCTAGTAGCGTTATTAAGGTCCCTGCCGGGGTAGTCAGTAAAGTTGTTAGCCAAGGGAATTGATTATACCAAGATTCAAACCAACTTTGTTGTATTTCCCTTTCTTTTTTCCTTTGCTCAAGTCCATTATGTAATTCAGCCATAGAATCTCGAATGATTCCTGAATGATTGGCATAAAAACAACACTCTTCCCCTAATGCCACACAGAGTCCTCCTTGTTGTAAATACAACAAATCCAATCCCCTCCTGTTTTGTAAAACTACTTCAGAGAGGGAATTAAGGGATTTCTCAAGATATGAGATGGATTTTTCAATTCTTGCTTAATCTTCATCTACTGCAGCTCTTAGATCTGTTAAACCTTTATCATGCTTTACCGGAGATGTAATTCCTGTAGCTGCCCCTGTTGCTCCCAAGCCTAAAAGCATAGCTATGGTTAGAGTAATTGGCTCCCGCTTCTTGATTTTATGTTTATCTGTTTCCCAGTGTTCAAGGAAGGACTGTCTAGGATGGTAAAACATTCGAGGTACCACTGTTATTTGTACACAAAATTCGTCATTCTCATTCATCACTGATATTTCTACACAATGCTTTAGCCCAGTTTTCGAACAAGCCCACCATCCTCCTGTACTTGGTACACTCCACTTATGGCTCAATTGATGTGAATTTGTTATTGTGAAGCTGCATATGTCAGATTGGTCTGGGGGTACATTTCCAATACATGTCCCATGTCCACTTACCTGGGACATGGTTAGCCCAATTTCTTTTTCATGCCATTTACATTGTGCAGGAAGGTTTTCCTTGCTTAATTTAAAGGTAGCGTTTAATCCTATTCCCTCATAAAAAGGGGGCTGTACATCATAACATAACCAGCATGAATCAGTCATGTTCAGTTCTGTCTGATTAAGGGCCCTATAGGATGCTTCTGCTAAGTGCAATAAGGAGTCCTCCTTTTCGTACAACATCTTTTTCTTATTATGCTTTTTGGGATCTATGGGCTTAGCAGAAATTGAGGATTGTCCTTTATTCAATTTTCCTTTCATCTCCATATTGGGTCCTATTTTCTGGGATTCAGTGGCCACAGCTATTGATTGTTTTATTATTTTTATTTCACTTCCTGGATCTTTACCAGTTATATAGAATCTTACTCCCCAGGTTCTCCCTGTTATCCATCCTGAATCTTCAGGCCTTTTAATGCTTAACAACAGGTGTTTGCAATTAGTTGGAATTCAGATTCCTGAATTCTCAAGGTCCCAACCATAGGGAGGCTTTTTACAACCTTCGAGTCCCCACTGGACAGTGATATATTCATCAGGTACTTTAGGTTTCCATGCTGTTGCCATTGTTTCACAGCCCCAGTACCCACAATAGTTATACCCAGGATAATTGCACTCGGGTTTCCTTGGATTGGACTTGGGACACCAGTAGGAAGCAATATAAGGTAAGATCCAGAAGTTATAAGGCCCTCCAGGTTGTCTTGTTTTACAAGCAAAATCCACTGCCTTTACCAGGTCACAATTGTGGTCACATCAGTGGTATCAGCTATAGGCAAATAACTCCACCGTAGTACCTCTCTGCCTTCCCTTCGTCTACTCCTTTGCAGGGAGCAACGGGGTATCACTTCCTCTTGGCAGCAGAGATGTTCTTCAGGAGTGTGTATGTAGTTTTTAATTCTTTTTCTTCACCACTGATTGGAATTCAGAATGCTATTTACTCGCTAAACCCAGTCCAACTGGGGGTAAGGGTTCTGTGCATTGGTGTGCGAGTTAGGAGAATTAGTGCTTGTCTGGTAGAAGCTAAATGTGGGGACAAACTTTACCATTCGGGCATCAGTAATATACCAGCCTTCCCACGAATCGTGTTCCCAGACCGGGGTCCACTTGAGGAAATCTTCTACTACTAAAGGGTCATATCCTAACTCTTTACTTTTCCCCTCTAACTCCTTTATAAACTCTCTTATGTGATATTCTATTACATCAAGCAATTCTTGTCTCTGAACTTGTGCTTCTAAGTCTAATCGGGCTAAGCTTCCACCAATATCGTTTAATTGAGCAACTTCCAGTATGTCAGTGAATTGTACTTCAATGTTTAACACTTTTCTTATTCTATTCCACTGTCTCAGACTGTCTCTTAGTCTATTCCATATTTTTATGCATACATTGCCCATGTGTTTAATCTTTCGTTTTTAAATTTTTACTCTGCTTATATTTAGGACGAGATCTTATGATTATTAAACTCGTCAAGCACCCCTTGCAGCTCTAAATATCTCTTCCTGCTTGGTTTTCCTAGTTTCCAGGAAAACCTCGAACGACGCTTTTCTAATATTGCCTCCCAGTCAGCTTCATATATTTCCCAAGTCTCAGATACTAGTAATTCCCACCCACAAAATATTTTGCGGACTTCTGCTTTAGCTAACAGTTCTCTGCTAGATCCACCCCAATCGATGTCTTCAGTCTTATTCCTTCTACAACATGGGCAATGTGGATTTCCCTTAAGTGAAACACAACGCCACTGTCTATTACACTTTATACATTCACAAATCAACCAACTATAATGCCCGAAATAGGGATGTTTAACACAAGGTATTCCGAGGGGATTAGGAGGTTCTGGGAAATCAATTTCTAGTTCACAACAAAAAGGTAATACAATAGGTGTCCCAATTATCTTATACAACCCAGATCCTCCACTTTGATTAGGAATCCTCTTGTCTCCCCACGGCGGATAATGTGTTCTTCTTAACTTCTGTTCAGGGGGTATCTGGAAGAATTGATACAGACTGGATTTTATATCATTCTCATAATCATTCCTTTACTGGCCTTATTCTTTTTATTGTCATTCGCAGATCTCCGGGTGCGGAGGTCACAGTCCACTCAGGAGCATTCACTGGTCCCTTGACTCGTGAGGCGTGAGTCCACCCTCTTTCGGCCGTCCGGACTGCTGTGTCTGTGGTTAAGAGAATGATAAAAGGTCCCTCCCAGCGAGGGGTTAATGAGGATTCTTTCCATGTTTTAATTAATACCCAATCACCAGGCTGAAACTTATGTATTGTCATATCTAAAGGGGGTCTCTGTGCTACCATCCCCTTCTTTCTCAATTCTTTTCTCCTTTTCATTAATTCAACAATGTATTCTCTTAAAAGGACTTCTTCTGGTTTTGGATTTTCTATTGGAGTCCCAAAATCATAAGGCATTCCATACATCATTTCAAAAGGAGAAATTCCTGTATCTGTTCGTGGCTGGGTTCGAATATGTAACAAGGCTAAGGGTAAACACTTTACCCAATTCATTCTTGTCTCTATCATTAATTTGATCAAATGCTTCTTTATTTCTCCGTTCATTTTTTCTACTCTACCAGAACTTTGTGGATGCCAGGGGGTATGATATTCCCACTTGGTTCCAAAAAGTTCTGTTACTTCTTTAATTATTTTGGAGGTAAAGTGTGTTCCCCTGTCCGAGTCCACTACTGCCACAATACCATATCTTGGGATAATTTCTTCCAGTAAAATTTTGATTACTGTTTTAGCCGTACACCATGCAACAGGAAAAGCTTCAACAAAATGAGTAAGATGATCGACTAAAACTAATAAATATTGATATCTCCCTACCTTTGGTAATTCAGTAAAGTCTGCCTGTATCTTTTCAAAAGGTCTTTTAGCTAGTTCTCGTCCTCCTTGAACTTTTTCCCTCAATTGTCTTTTATTTACTTTTTGACAAGTTAAACATCCTTCAAGAATTCTTTTTGCTATTCCATAAGCTCCCACACAGGCAAATTTGTTCTCAAATTGATCTACTAAAGCCTGTGTTCCTCAGTGTGTCTGCTCATGCAGTTTCCTCATTATTTTCTGAGCAAGACCATTCAGAAGTACTTCACGACCGTCTGGTAATAACCATTTATTGTTTTCTTCTTTTGCTCCAGATTGTCACAGTTTCTCTTTCTCCTGTTCACTGAAACTTTTTGGGACATCTATGTCCTCCTGTTCTGAACTGGCCATCACTAATAAAGCTGCCCTCTTTGCTTCCTCATCTGCTAAATTATTTCCTCTGACAGTAACTTTCAGTCCCTTTTGGTGTCCCTTAAGATACACAATTGCAATCTGCTTTGGTTTTCTCAGGGCTTTTAAAATTTCCCGAATTAGAGTTTCATGAATAAGTCCCTTACCTTGTGTATTAATCAGTCCTCTTTCCTCCCATATCTTGCCGAAAGTATGAACTATCCCAAATGCATACTTAGAATCTGTAAATATAGTGCCTGCCTTTCCGTCTAATAGCTGTAATGCTCTCAACAGCGCATATAATTCACAAGCCTGAGCTGACCACGCCTTGTCTAAGGGTCCGGACTCCTGGACTTGAAAAGTCACTCCGTCTATTACTGCGTATCCTGACTTTCGATTTCCATTAACCACTCTAAACAAACCATCGATGTATAATTTCTCTCCTTCACTCAACTCCTCTTCCTATAAATCTTCCCTAATTTTTGTCTGAAGATTTATTACTTGTAGACAATCATGTACCAGATCTCCCTTGGGCTCTCCATATAAGCAGTGGGCTGGGTTTTGTAGATTTGTCACTTCTAGCTCCAGTTTGGGTGAGTGTAACAAGATGCTTTCGTACTTTAGCAACCGACTATCTGTTAGCCATTTCTCAGCTCTCTGCTGCAGCACTCCCCTTATGTTGTGAGGGGTGAAAACTTTTAATTCTCCTCCAAAGGTTACTTTTATAGCTTCCTCAACTAACAAAGCCATAGCTTGCAGACAGGTTGGCCATCCCCTACTTACTGGGTCTAATAATTTAGAATAATATCCAACTGGTTTCCTCTGTCCGACCCACGTCTGAGTTAAGACTCCATAGGCCGTGCCATTCTCAGTATTTACAAATAGATAGAAAGGTTTCTGATTATCTGGCAAACTCAGCACACAGGTGCATTCACCAAATCCTCCTTTAACTTTTCTAATTGTTCCTCGTCTTTGTCACTCCACTTTACCAACCCATCTTTTGTCAATTTTTCATATAAAAATTTAACTTTACTACTATAATTTTCAATCCATTGTCAGCACTACCCGAATAAGCCCAAGAGTTGCCTAATTTGTCTTTTAGTTTTGGGCATAGGTAATGACAAAATTCCATTTACTCGATCGGGGTCTAATCTCTTGTGTCCTCTACTTAGCCAGTGTCCTAAATGCTTAACTTCCTCCTCTGTAAATTGCAGCTTAGACTTTGACACTTTCAAGCCTTTTAAACTTAGAAAATTCAGGAGTCGAATGCTTTCGTCTCTGACAGCTTCTGACTTTTCTCCAGTCACTAACAAGTCATCTATGTATTGGATTAGAACAGTACCGTGGTGGGGTTCAAAAGATTCTAGCAACTGCTCTAAAGCTTGTCCAAATAAGTTAGGGGACTCTGTAAATCCCTGAGGCAGGATGGTCCACCTAAGCTGCTGCTTTCTATGAGAGTCAGGGTCTTCCCATTCAAAAGCAAAATAATCTGTCCTCTTTAAGAGGGCAGACCCAAAAAGCATCCTTCAAATCAATTGCGCTATACCATTTGTGTTCAGGGGATAGCTGATTTAATAAAGTATAGGGATTGGCCACTACTGGGAACCGAGTAATCGTCCGTTTGTTTACTTCTCTTGGATCTTGCACCAATCGATAAGACCCATCAGGTTTCTTTACTGGCAAGATGGGTGTATTATGTGGTGACATCCATGGTTCCAGCAATCCCTGCATTAGGAGCCGTTCTATAGTGGGCTTAAGTCCAACTCTTCCTTCATGAGGGATAGGATATTGCTTTACCCTTATTGGCTCCCCTGGATTTCGAATAGAGACTTCAAATGGTTTTATATCTAATTTTCCCACAGAATCAGGGGTATACCACACTTCAGGATTTATTCTTTTTTCATCTTCCGCTGTAAGGGAATATATTTTAACTTGTATTTTCTGCTCTTTCACTTCTAAATTTATTCCCAACTCTATTATCAAATCTCTCCCTAATAAATTATATTCAGCCTCAGGGGCCAGCAAAAATGTTCCTAATGCATATTTATTTTGGGCTTCTATTTCCACATCTTTAATTAGGGGTATTTTAAAAGGTTCTCCTTTAGCTCCTACCACTTGGACTGTGTCAGAGGAGGTCATACAACCCCAAGGTAGTTTTCGGACAGTAGATCTTTCTGCCCCCGAGTCCACTAGGAACTCGAGTTCTTGTTGCTGGGGACCTATTTTAAGTTTTATCAAGGGCTCGGTGTTCTTTTGTGTCCCCAGCAGATAGAGCCCCTGACACCTTCAGTCTTCTTTAAAAATCTGCTCATCCTGCAGTCTTTTTCTGCAGTTTCTTTTTATATGTCCTTTTTGCCCACAATAGTAAGACTCTAATTCACTTAGGTTTGGTCTATCATGTCCTTTTGACAATTCACATCTATCAGATCCACGAGGGATCCTTCGTCTCTGGTCTCTGTTTCCCCTCTGTCCTTCTCATATAGCCGCCGCCAAAATCTTTGTCTGCCTCCTTTGCATTTCCACCTGCCTCCTTTGCATTTCTTCCTGTCTTTTCTGTAATTCCTCCTGTCTCTCCTCCTGTCTTTTCTGCATCTCTTCTTCTTTCCTTTGTCTTTCTTCCTCCTTTTCTTCATCTCTACGTACGTACACTCTCTGAGCTTCCCTTAGCAACTCATCCAAACCCTTAACCTGCCAATCGTCACTCTTTTCTAACTTCCTCCGAATATCCTCCCACGATCCCTGCACAAACCGCATCTTAAGCATAGCTCCCCCCATCACATCATCCATTGGATCCAAGCCAGAATAAAGCTGAAAGCTTTTTCTTAATCTTTCCAGCCAATCCGTAGGTGATTCATCTTTTTTCTGATATTCTTTAAAGGCTTTATCTATATTCTGTCCTCTAGGGACTGCTTCCCTTATACCCTGGACTATGATGGTCCTTAAATCAGCCATGTGAGCTCTATCAGCCGCTGTCTGGTTATCCCAGTTAGGTCTCTGAAGAGGCCATTTAGTATCGGCAGCTGGACCCTGCCGGTGTGTCTGGTCCCAGTGCCTCATTCCTGCTGTTCTAATCATTCCTCGTTCTTCTACTGTAAATAAGATTCCTAAAATCGCTTGCATCTCATCCCAGGTATATATATTTGGCCCTAGACACTGGTCAAATCTTTCAGATACTCCTATAGGGTCTTCTAACAATTTCCCCATCTCCTTTTTAAACTCCCTCACATCCTCTGAACTTAAAGGAACAGACACAAACCCTAGCCCAGCATCTTGTCCTCCCATTGCAATCTCCCTTAAAGGATATAACTGACCTTCCATCTTTTGTTTTTCCCTGGTTTGGCTTCTCATTACTCTCCTGCTATCAGCCGGTGAGGGGGGTGAGAGGTTCTCTAATGAAGGGGGTACTGATTCTGTTGGGGCAGAGGGCTGAAACATTGGTTCTGGAATGGGTGCAGGTGGTGGAGGGGGTGGGATATATGGTGGAGGGTATCTTTGGAAATCCTCCAGATCCCAGTTATTCTTTTTCTGCTTTTTTGTTTCCTTTAAAGGAAACAAATAATTTCTAGTATCTGATTTGATCCGTAATCTAGCATACTCGCTTTCTTCTGCACAAAACGGCTCTTTGTTATTTACACACAGATTTAAAGCCCGACATATCCAGTCTTCAAATGAACCATATACTGGCCAATACAAATGATCCTGTCTTATTTGCTGCCCCCCCCATACCTCCATACAATAATGCACCATCTTTTCTCTCGACTTTCCTTCTGTGGAGGGATATTCATTCCAATACCTAATCATAACTCCCAAAGGACTATCTGGAGGTATGCTCGGTAGCCTTGCCACTAGCTCATTTTCAAACTTTCTCCTATCCTGCGGGGTATCCTGTAGCTTTTCTTTAGGATCTCCTATTCCAACTCCCTCCCTAGGTTTCTCTTCAGTCTTAAGACTGTCCTGAACTGTTTTACAGCCACCCATGGGAGCAGAAGATTCACTTTTCTTCTATCCCATCTTCCGGAATGCCTTCACACACACCCACACCACTTGCTTCCCTCCTTTTGTGACTCGCTCCCTCGCAGGAATACAAGAACTGCACTACTAGGAGGCCCACAATCGCTTCGTCCCACTGGATGTCTCAGCCATTCACACTCCGGGATCCCCTCCCAACCGAAAGGGGCCGCAAATACTTACCCTCCTCAGGTAAGTCTTCGTTCAGTTCCTTACTGAATGGTCCCCGACCAGACAAGCAACCCCACTTACTCACTACTCCTGAGTAAGTCTTTATCTGGACCCGTGCACGGAGATTATGGGGAACGGCAGTGGTTTATTTGCTTATTTGCTTTTTCTAAATCTTTTCGGTCGGAATCTCAGAGTCTGTGCTGCAGGACTCCCTGCAGGACCATCCAAAGAAAGGGACGGGGCGCCCGCCCCAGAGGGGAGTCCTACCGCCCAGAAACTCTGATCCGAGTCAGTACGGCACCAAAAATTGTTATAGGTAAATGAAATTTAGGCTGAAATATAGCAGCAAAAATTTATTCAAGATTTATATAAAATGCAAATAAGCAAAACAGCGCGCTGGACGACCAGGGGAGACCCCTGCTCCACTCGCGGCCCGCAAGCACAGTTGGCAAAAACAGTAACCTTTAAACCCCTGTCAATTCCCTCCCATAGTCACTTGTTATCCCTCTATTGGATCCGAGTTCACAGGTCTGGTTCTGGTTGGTTCTTTTGCAGGCCCGCTTCAATTGCCAGGTGCTTCCCTATCCATAATCCTCCATCCTTGAGGCCTAGTGTGTGGGTCCCTCCAGATGTCCATCTTGGATCCTCTTTATCGTCCTCGTACTTGACCCTTTGATCCTTGTCCTTCCCTTCGTTACCTTAGGCGTACACTTTTAGACAATATACTTTTAGAAAAACAAGATACAAAATACTTATTCAGTAAGGCACAATAATTTGTCTTGTCAGCTTAAGAACTGCAGCTGCAGAACTATCAGCCTGTAGTACTGACAGATTAATTAACCATTCTGCAGCTTGCAGTTCTCCAGCCTTAACAGAACATTGATTACAATAACATATATATATAGAAATATAACATGCAATACCATTGAATGAGTAAATTACTTTACTACTACTACTTATTTATTACAGGGGGGACCCCCCTAACCCCAGAGAGCAGAGAGGGGGAACTCCTGGGAGGGGTTTTTGGGCTGAATGTTGGTGTTTGGGACGTTTTTATGGACACAAGATGCCCAGTGAGTTCTAGAGCTGGACCTGGGCAGGAGGAACCCCCAAGGCAACGTGCTCACCCCTTGTTTTTTCCCCCCCAACAGGATTTCTGCTTCCCAAAGCTTGGGCGGATGGAGGAGGAGGCTACGAGGAAGAGGAAGATGCCGTGGGCCCCCCAGGCAGGTGAGGAGGAAGTCAGTGCCCCTTTGGGTCGGTCTTTTGTGGCCGTCCTGCCGGGGCCGGAGTTGGGGGGATGTCCTTGGGCTTCCCTGTGGGCCGGAGGCAAATCCCCTGTGTGTCCTTGTTGCTTCCTGCCCCAGGCCCCGAGGTGAGGCCGGAGAGCGCGGAGGACAAATCCCGGCAGCAGAGCCTGGTGGGAGAGGCCGTTTTGAAGGGCTCCCCGGCGCAGGAAGGCAGCGGGGAGGAAAAGGGCCGGAGATGCCCCCGCAGGAGGGGCTCCAAAGCCAGCCCAGGGGGCTGTGAGGAGGAAAGAGCCAGCGTGTGCCACGAAGGCGGCCGGAGCTTGATGTGGAGCTGCGAGCTGGTGGTCCCTGAGCAGCCTCCCAGCAGGGAAAAACCCTTCAGCTGCTTGGAATGTGGGAAGAGCTTCAGGACGAGCACCAACCTCCTCAAGCACCAGCACATCCACAGTGGGGAACGGCCCTACACGTGTGGGGAATGTGGGAAGAGCTTCAGGGACCGCTCCACCCTGCACCGCCACCAGATGATCCACACTGGAGAACGGCCCTACGAATGCTTGGAATGTGGGAAGAGCTTCAGGGACAGCTCCACTCTCCTCACCCACCAGCACATCCACACTGGAGAACGGCCCTACACGTGTAGGGAATGTGGGAAGAGCTTCAGGAGCAGGTCTGCTCTCTGCACCCACCGTCGCATCCACACCAGGGAGAGGCCCCACAAGTTTGGAGAGTGTGGGAAGAGCTTCACCCACAGCTCTGTCTTGACCTCCCACCCACGGACCCACCAGTAATGGAGGCCCCGAGTGCCCCGACTGCAGGAAGAGCTTCGGCCACTGCTCCAACTCCATCAACCATCGGAGGACCCGCGTTGGATGATCCACAGGGACCCCCGTTGGGCACAGACCTGGTGACCAACATTCCTGGTGACCCGTGTTTAGCAGAGACCTGGTGCTGGAATAGAGTTCAAACCTGGAAGAAGAATAAGGACTGGCACATCTGATGAGAAAGAGAAGACTCCAGTTCCCGGATAACATGAAGGTCAGGATGGTCTCCTCTTGATGGAAGGGTATGGACAGACTGCTCTTAGACCAATGTGATCAGGCAAAATGTCGGGTTTATTAGGAAAAAGACAGATTATATAGTGGTAATGACGCTCAGCTTCTTGTTCACACTACATTGGTTACATAAGGAAAATATGCTCTGCTGTCCACTGCTAATTGGACCACAACAGGTGGTCATAGGAGATGAGAAAACTTTATTCACCTGCCAAAAACTCCTCCTTGGCATCTGACATGAATCCACCTTTGTTCTAACTTTAGCTCGAGTAGCCATCTTAGTGGCGCAGTAATTTTTACTATCTGCACCCAGCCATGCCAGGGGAGAAATCACAGAAATGCAACAGAAACTGTTCACACAATTTCTGACCTACGACAAATCCCCTTTTTGGTTTTTGAGCAGTTTATTTTGCATTTCTGTGTCACTCTTTATTGTACCAATAACATATCAATAAACAAGATTACATATAACAATAATAGTACATTAACAAACTTAACAACTTAATAACTTCAAGGTTTGTGCTCTTAAATTTTACTTAACAGTGCTTCTAAATATAAAACTTATTCTTAAAACCTTTTATTCAATATAGAACACTTCTACAAATGGAGCTCCATTCAATATCACACACATACATGCATACATTTTCATCCATTCACTTTCATTCGGTGGCCACCAATTAAACACACATTCACACAAACATACTTTTGAGTTCCATTTCACCATGTTCTATAGGATAAAAAGCCATAATTCTCTAATACCTTATAATGTTAAAGCTTCTTATAAACTTTCCTTCACCAACACCCAGTGAATAATTCAAAATTCATACAAAACACTCTCTTAAATTCTTAACCTCTATAATTATGTGCTTTTTAAACTTATGTGCCTTAAAAATATATAAAAAATTGTGCTCATAATACCAAAAATTTTGCTCTTGTAATACTGAAAAACTATTATATACAACAGCTTCTGATAGTGCTACTGTTACCTACAGGAAGAGCATTAACCCTGTTCTGAAGAACCAGCTTCTTTCCAAGGTTTTACCCATCGTGCAGGTAGCCAGCGAACACCTGTATCTGTTAAGAGACAAGCATAGCCTCTTCCAGTCATCTTCGCTTCTGCAGGCCCTTTCCATTCCCCTGTCTGTGGATCCTTCTATTGCACCTTGATTATTGCTTGTTGACTTACCAGACCCGACTGCAAGGAAGTGTTATGAATAACAATGGGAGGGTCTGTTCTATTACCCGTCAACCGCAAGAAATTCAGCACATATAACACTTTTGCAAGTCGGTCATGTGGACTGGCTAGCTCTTCTCCCCCCTTCTGTTTTTGCAAAAGTGTTTTCAGAACTCCGTGAGCTCGTTCAATAATAGCTTGACCTGTAGGAGAGTGAGCTATACCAGTAACATGAGAAATACCCCAATTCATACAGAACCTTCGGAAACGTTGTGAGGTATAACCAGATCCATTATCAGTTTTAAGTTCTGTGGGGATCCCAAGGGCTGCTATGCATGCATGCATATGATGAATGACACATTTGGCACCTTCCCCAGCCTGGGCAGAGGCCCACATGGCATGAGAAAAGGTATCAATGCATACATGCACATATTTCAACCTCCCGAACTCAGCAACATGAGTGACATCCATTTGCCAAAGCTGCAATGCTTGTAGCCCCCGAGGATTGACTCCCAAGCCAATGCCCAGCCCGTTCTTGTGACAGGCTGAACAGGCCTGTACAATCCCTCGTGCATCTGAGGAAGTGAGCCCAAACTGCCTGGCTAATACATCTGCAGACTGGTGAAAAAATTCATGAGACAGAACTGCTTGCTGAAACTTATTTACTGCAGGACCAGTCCATGCAGGTGTTACTAATTTATCTGCTCTATCATTTCCAATTGCTAAACCACCATCTAACTTCTGATGGCTTCTAATGTGAGTGATAAAATAGGGCTGTGTGCGCTGATCTAGCAAATGCAGCAACTGTGTCATGAGTGCTGCTAAGATCTTATTTTTCAGGGTTTTGACCATTGCCCGTTCGATTCGCTGTACTGTACCTACTACATAAAGTGAATCTGAAACTACATTAACAGGTTCTTCCTTCCAGAAGTTCAAGGCCCACACTACACCTCTCAATTCAAGGGTTTGCAGTGTGTCACCTGAAACACCTGGAAGCAGTTTATGCAGTCATACCCAGTTACTTCCACTTGTGTGTGTGTGTGTGTGTGTGTGTCTGTGTCTGTGTGCGTGTGTGTATCTGTGTGTGTGTGTGTGTGTGTCTGTGTGTATCTGTGTCTGTGTGTGTCTGTGTGTGTCTGTGTGTGTTAGAGGCTGCCGTGGTGGGTGTTGTCCAGCAGGGGGCGCTGTTGGTCAGGACCTGGAGATTCCCCCAAAGCGAGGAGGGAAAAGGGAAAAGGGGAAAAAGAGAAAAGGAGGAATAGGGGGAAAGGGGAAAGGGAAAAGGCGAAAGGGGGGAAAAGAGGAAAGGGGAAAAAGGGAAAGAGGAAAAGGGGGAAAGGGGAAAAAGGAAAAAGGGGGAAAAGGGGGAAAAGGGAAAAATGGGAAAAGAGGAAAAGGGGAAAAAGGGGAAAACGAGAAAGAGGGAAAAAGAAAAAGGGGGGAAGGGGAAAAGTGGGAAAAGAGGAAAGGGAGGGAAAGGGGGTTCTTCCCACGAAACTCCCACCGGCTGTGGCTGGCTGTGGCCAGGAATTCCCCCTTTTGGCCGATGAACACACGTCACTGCCAACACAGGAGCGGAGGAGGGAAAGGGCGACCTCCTCCCCAAAAGGTTCCTCTCTAGGGGGGGTCAAACCTGTCCCATGAAGTCCGAGCAGGTCCGGGCTGGGGGCAGAACAGGGCGCAGGAAACGAAGGCAAACAGGAACCAGCAAACAGCCAGATGAGCAGGCCGAGAACAAAAGGACCTCGGAGCCTCTCCAACACACCCCTTGCCTGAGTTAAGGCCAAAGGGAAGGACCTTGCCCTTTGCCCAGGAGAAAGCAAAAAACTCCACCCCCCCAGAGCCTTCTGAGGGCTCCCAACCTGCAATGTGGGCTGGGCCAGTTCTTTTGTGGGTGTGAGTCACCCAAGGCAAAGCCCCCTCCCCCATTCAACATCTTTCTTTTCCAGTGGGGCAGGGGAAGGAAAAATTCCTGCTTGGTTTTTCAGAACAAGTAAAGCTATGACAGGGATCCCCTCCCCCCTGCCCTCACTGCCCCCAATAACAGGGACTGGGGAGAACTGGGAAGCTTTCCTGGGAACACTGGGAGCAACTGGCTGGGGTCAGAATAAAAGCAGGGATAGGGGGGACAAACGACCCCCCAAACTCAGTGTGGGGCTGGACTGGGGGGTCCCGGCTGGGCCCGAGGCCACGGGGAGGGGCTGCGGCCGCCGGCGGCTCAGGAGCTCTGTGGGGAGAGAAAAGGGGGTGAGAGCATGGTGAGGGAACAGGGGGGAGACAGACGCTGTGGGCAAGGGAGGGACACGAGCCTCGGGGACCCCCCTTTACCTTCTCCCGCAGGTAGAAGCCGAGCCCCAGTGCCAGGAAGACCAAGCCCAAGACGAAGCCCCCGACCCCCACCAGGATCTTGCTGCGGACGGTGTCCGGTGGCATCTCTGGGGGGAGCCGGAGGGGTCAGCACCCCCAGAACCTCCTAGAGACCACCCAGGACCCCACAAACCCCATCCTAGTCTCTCCCAGCCCACCCAGGTGTCCCTGAAACCTCCTGCCAGTCCCTTCCCAGCCCCTTAAGGAATCCCACCAAGCCCCTCCAGACCCCTTTAGGACCCTCCAACCCCCTTCTCATCACCCCCAGAACTCCCCTGAACCTCTCCCAGTTCCTTCCCAGCCTCCCCACGACTTTCCAACCCCCTCCCGCTCATCCCAAGCCCCCCCAGCCTCCCTCCCCTCCCACCCAGGCTCGCCCAAACTCCCTCCCAGTTGCCTCAATGGCTCCCCAAGCCCCTCTCAGCCCTCCCAGGTGGGAGCTTGGTGGCACCAGCGGGGTGGAGATGTGGGGGGAGCACTGGGAGAGACTAAGATGGACTGGGATGGACTGGGAGGGGGCAAAAGGCCACGAGGTCAGGAACAGGGAGGGCTGAGGGGTCTGGTGTAATTCCCAGGGAGGGTTTGAGAGGTTCCAGGGTCATTCCTGGGGCAGGACCTGAGGGGACCCGCTCTACCCCACGCTCACCTCTGCAGTTGAGGATCCCCCCACTGTGGATTCGACCCCCCCCAGAGCCCCAGGGAACTGCTCCAGGGCTCCAGGGACACCCAGGGACCCCCATGGTACCCCTGCCCCAAATGGAGAACTGGAAATGTCAAGAATAAAAAAGTCACCCCCTCCATTAGTCAGGAAATGTTTAGAGCTCTTTACTAAAAGCATCCAGTTTAAGCATTGGGTCACCCAGTTTTCTTTCTGACAAGGCTTTGCAGGGGCTGCTTGGGAAAGGGAAGCCCTGGGGCCCCAGTGCAGATGGGGGGGCTGCACTCTGGGGGGGTCGGCCTTTGGCTCTTGGCTTCCAGGGGCCACCAGGAGTCAGTGAGCCGGGCTGGGGACGAGGGGCAGAACTGGCTGGGATTGCCTCTGGGGCCTGGCCCAGAAAATGGAAGTGTCCCCATGGGGGCAGCTGGAAAGGGCCCAGGAAGGAAATGCTGCCCCAGCGCAGGCTGTGGCAGTGGGGAGTGTGCAGGGGGAGGAGGCTGGGCCAGAGCAGGGCTGGGCAAGAAGGGCCAAGCCGCGGGTGGGTTCTCCCCCGGCCCCCAGGGCCCAGCCCCTGATGGGAGGGCCTTGGGCAGGGCCTGGGGCGACTGCAGGAATATCCGAGGCAGCTGAAGGGCCGTGCTTTTGGCAGGTGGGTTGACAGACCCAGCTCTCTGCAAGAGAAGTTGAGGGCTCTGAACCAGAGAGGGGATGAGAGCCGGGTACAGGCTTGGGAATTGCCGGGAGGGGAAAGGGATGTCGAAGAACAAGTCCCTCAGGAGAGGGAAGCAGAGAGGCTGTGTTTTGACCCCAGCAAAAGGGTCTGCAGGGCAGAGCAGAGAATATCCCCCACGTGAGATTGTTGTGCATCTCTCCTTGCAGTTCTGACAGACACTTCTCTTCAAAGGTCGTTCTGTGAGCGTCTTCTTGTTCTTTCCAGGTGGGATGCAAGTGGTGGGGTGGGCCTTTGGCACCGGAGGAATGACGAGCAAGGTGAGCATTTTCCTGCCAGTCTGAATCAGATGTTAATTTTGGTGGGCTGTATCTTTGGTGAATCTAAGCACATTCCTTGGCATTTGTTTTTTTTTCTGGGTGGTTCGCAACCTGAGAAGCATCAACAGAACGGGAAGGAGGTCCCTGCAGTAAGAGGTCAGTGTAAAGGAAGCTGAGAGGGGAGCTTTGGTGAGAATGTTGCCCTCTGAGGGGATCCGTCAGTGTGTGCCTTCCCTGGGTGATTTCTTTGCAGTGGCCATGCGTATTGCCAGGGGAGCAGAGCCACAGGCCCAGGAGCCGAGCAACAAGGTCAGGTGCTCTTGTGCTGGCCTGGTGGGCAAGGGCAGGGTATTGCAGGGCTCAGCAATGAAGCATTTCCCTCTTCTCTTTGGACGTGCCGTCCTGGTAGCCTTTGGAAAGAGATGAGTGTTGCAGGTGAGTCGGGGAGTTAACGAGGAGGAGCAGGGGCCCAGGGAACTTTCAGAAATGCCACAGAATGTTTTCTTTCCCTCTTCCAGGCGTGCCATGCAGTGAGAGTTGCAGGCTGCGACTCTGACCAGAGCCAGGGACTGGAGGACCTCAGAACACTTAGGAGATGGTGAGTGGTGGAATGGTTGGGGTTTGGCCGATGTGCTGCTAAAGTCCTGCATTGATTTTGGTTTTCTTTCTGGGAGCTGACGAAGAGAATAACCCAGCGACTGCAGCAACCTCTGAACCAACCAAAGGGACGATGGATTGACAGGCCGAGCTCTCTGAAAGATAAGTCGAGGACCATGAGCCAGAGAGGGGATGAGAGCCAGGTACAGGCTTGGGAATTGCCAGGAGGGCTTTTGAAAGGAGTGTAGGGGAAAGGGATGTCTAAGAACAAGTCCCTTAGGAGAGGAAGCAGACAGGCTGAGTTTTGACCCCAGCACAAAGGTGTGCAGGGCAGAGCAGAGAATATGCCCACATAAGATTCTTGTGCGTCCGTCTTTGCAGTTCTGACAGGCACTTCTTGTCACAGCCTGTCCTCTCCATTTCAGAATAGGCCCTGGCAACCAAAGAACCAACACCCCACACCATAGTGCAGACCAACCCATGTGCTTTGGGCCCTTTTGTTGTCCTATCCATTCTGGTCTATGCTCTCCATTCTGGAATGGCCTCTGGAAACCATAGAACCAAGCCCCCACCATGTGACAGTTCAACCCCATCCGTGTGCCAAGGGCTCCTTTGTGGTGTCACAGCCTATCCTCTCCATTCCAGAACGGGCCCTGGCAACCAAAGAACCAACACCCCACAAGGTCAGAATGCAGCCCCACCTTTGTGCCATGGGCCCATTTGTGATGTCACAGCCTGTCCTCTCCATTCTGGAATAGCCCCTGGAAACCAAAGAACCAACACCTCACACCCCCACAGTGCAACCCCACCTGTCTGCCATGGGACTCTTTTTAATGTCAAAGCTTTTCCCCCAGGAAAGAAAGCCTGGAACCTTCAGGTTTCAGATGAAGTTGGGGGGCCACCCTGGGCACTCCATGAGCAGCAAGAGTTTTCTGTCCTGGCACCTTTTGTCTGGCAGGAATCTTTGTCCGTATTCAATTTTGGGATTGGGACTGGCAATTTCAGCGCAGGGCTCCTGCAAGTGAACGACAGCCCTTCCCTCCAGGAAAGAAACCCCTTACCCTCGGTCTCTTCTCCTGTTCCCTAAAATACAAACTGCAGGGGATCTTTCTGGGATCTCTTCTCTTGAGAATTGGGAAGATAGACCCGCTCCCATGTTTAACACCTCAGGTAAAACCACCCTTTGAACACCTTCCCCAACCTTTCCCAAAGCCCAGATTTTACAGGAGTCCTGTAATTATGACCCAATCTCACCCAAGCCCACAAACCATAACAGAAACCTCTCAGCCTCACACTGCGTCTTTCCCATTGCTGTGCCTTATGTGCAGGCAAGAGACCTTAAAATCAAGGACCCAAAATTCATGGTCTGTTTTTTTCCCAGAAAAGAAGGCGTGGTGAACTCTCCAGGCCAAGGAATTGGAAGATCTCCCCAAAACTCCTTTGGTACACGCTGCAGGGCCAACGATTCCTCTGCTCTGCCCTGTCGGTGCTGCTTTGTCTCATCTGGGTCCCCAGAAACTGTCAGCGAAAGCCAGGGAATAAAATCTCTGAGCAGTTGGTTGGGTTCCAGAGGTGACCCTACTTCATTCAGCACTGAAGGGACACAGGAATTGCTCTCTAACACCTGTACATCAGTTCTCAAAACTTTTAACTCTTTTTACATTTTAGCAAACAAAGAAATTCCTGTCCCTGGGCTTAGCAGTTCTCTGCAGGAATTCTTCTCTCTTCTATTGGTTCTTGATTTCTCACTTTGCATGATACTTAGTCTACAGTTTTTGTCCTTTTCTTGTCTTTTCCCTAGATAGGGAGAGTGACAGTAACTGTCTGTGTTAGTTTTGTCTTTGTCTCTGGTTTCTCTAAGGGTCTTTGTGGTTTAGAAATTCTGCCTTCTTGATGTCCAGGTCTCAAAAATAGATTTCTCTGACCACTGATATATGGCAGGCCTTAAACTTTTACTTTGTTTTTCTAACAAATGGCCATGGCCCAGAACTTGTCCATCATCCATTGTCTATTGCCCCCATTCAATCTCCTGCCAGCAGTTTCTCCCCACTGCTGGGTGGGTTTCTTTGTCAAGCACTAGAACTTTTTGGGTAACAGGCCCAGTCCTGTTGCATATATTTCGTGGGGATCTGCAGGAGGGCATTGAGTCTTCCAGGAGCAAATTGGCAGAGGACCCCAAGTTGGCTTGCAGTGTGGATGTGCTGGAGGGGAGGAAGGCTGTGCAGAGGGACCTGGACAGGCTGGACCTCTGGGCCGAGCCCGTGGGCATAAGGTTCAAGAGTGCCTTTGGTGCCTTTGGGGCCTCTGGCCACAAGAACCCCCTGCAGCTCCAGGCCAGGGGCAGAGGAGCTGCAAAGGGTCCCCGTGGGAGAGGCTCTGGGGTGCTGGTGGACAGAGGCTGAACCTGAGCCAGCGGGTGCCCGGGTGGGCAAGAAGGCCAAGGGCAGGCTGGCCTGGATCAGAAAGAGTGTGGCAGCAGGGGCAGGGCAGTGATTCTTCTGCTGGACTGGGCACTGGTGAGGTCACAGTTGGAGTGCTGTGTCCAGCTCTGGGTCCCTCAGTTCAGGGAGAACCTTGAGGGGCTGCAGTGGGTGGAGAGCAGGGCAATGGAGCTGGGCAAGGGTCTGCAGTGCCTGTCCTGTGAGGAGCAGCTGAGGGAGCTGGGCTTCTCCAACCTGGAGAAGAGGAGGCTCAGGGCTGACCTTCTCCCTGTCCACAACTCCCTGACAGGAGGCTGGAGTCAGGTGGGGGTCAACCCCTTCTCCGAGGCAACAGGCGCTAGGACAAGAGGACACGAGGACCTGCCTGTCAGGGGCTGTTTGTCAGGGAGAGGAGCAGGACTTTTTGGAGAGAAACAGGGATTAGGTATTGAAATGGGCTGCCCAGGGAGGTGGTGGAGTCACCGTCCCTGGAGGTGTTTAAGCAAAGACTGGCCATGGCACTGAGTGCCGTGGTCTGCTTGACATGCTGGGGATGGGGCGTAGGCTGGACGCCAGTTGATCTCACAAGTCTCTGCCAACCTCATGGACTCTGGGCTTCTGTGCCAGGCCAGCCTTTGGGGACAGCATGCTGGTGGCTCCGAGGCTCCGTCCTTGCCTTGCCTTGCCCATCTCCTGGCTGCCAGGCAAGGGCCTTGTGACATCACAGCCTCTGTGGAACAGCGCGGTGGCTGAAAACTGTCAGTGCTGCGTCCCCGTGCCCAGAGCCTGGGCAGAAGTCGGCTGGCAGGGACGGGCAGAGACTGTGCAGAGGTGTCAGCTCGTCCCGCAGCAGCACGATGCCCAGCCAGGGCATCTCCTGGCTCCTCAGGCTCTCGGTGCTCCTGCTCTTGCCTGGCCCACTCGAGCCTTGCAGCCGTGCCACAGGTGCCATTGCTGAGAACTGGGGTTTTCCTTGGATGGCCCCTTGCCAGAAAAGGCAGGAGAGGCTGGAGAGAGGGGAAGGAGGGGGGTCAGGCCGCTGGGATGTTGCCGGCGGGCCGTGAGCCCAAAGCCAGCAAGGCCTTGGGCCCACACGGTGTCAGGGGAGGACTGAGAGCCCCCAGGGAGGAGGAAAGCTGGGCAGGCCCCAAGGCTGCTGGGCCTCTTCCTTGCCAGCCCTTTGGCCAAGGCCCCAAGGCAGAGGTGGGGCTCAGCCCCTGCCCAGCAATGGGGCACAGGCTGAGCCCCAGGGACACCAGAGCCAGGCGGCCTGAGCTCTTCTTCCTGCAGCGTCTGCCTGGGGCAGCCCAGCCAGGCCTGAGTCTCTGCAGGAGAGGCCAAGCCCAGCCAGAGAGGGCTCAGCCCTCTGAGGCTGCACTCACTGCAAAGGGAACAAAACATTGGCCCAGAGGACATCCTGCCCCCAAATGGAGAACTGGAAAGGTCAAGAATAAAAAAGTCATCCCTCTCCATTAGTAAAGAAATGTTCAGACCTCTTTCCTAAAAGCATCCAGGACTCAGGTCACCAAATTTTCTCTCTGACAATGGTTTTTCCATGGTTCTCCTCAATTCCCAGCCTACCCAGGATCACTTTTGGGGTCCCAACCTTCCCTTTTTCCCCCCCTTCCCCCACCCCTTACACATCATTCCCCCAATCCCCAGCCCCCTCATGCTCAGTTTGGGGGTCCCACCTTCCCCTTTTCCCCACTCTTCTGACCTCTCCCTCCCCTTTCCCATCAGTCCCCAATCCTCATTCCCCCTCCCCCTCCACTTTTGGGGGGTCCCACTCTCCTCCCACTCAGTTTGAGGTCCCACCACCCCTTTTATCCCCTCTAACTCACTGATCCCCCTCTTCCCAAGACCCCTCTCACCCGAGATCTCCTCACCTTCAGCGGGAGGGGCTCCCAGTAACACCAGTGCTCATAAATGTCACCCCAGAAAAGGGGTTAGGTGGGGTCCTGGGTGGGTTTGGGAGTTCCTTGGCGGGCTGTGGGGTGGTTTAAGGGGGTCCCAGCACACTTTGGGATGCATTGGATGCCGTGTTGGGGTGCAGATGTCCCCCAAAGCTCCCGCAGAACAGGGTGAAAAAGGGGGGGCACAGAGTGTTGCCCGTAACCAAAAGAAACACAAACCAACAGAGTGCCGGTTTATGCGGTGCTTTATTCGGGGCCCTGGGAACCTGAGGACTAGCATCCAAAGTCAGGATTCCGAAGACCCTCATTTTCAGTTCAGCTTTTATACACAAACAAGTTTATGTGCAGTTTCCACGGCAAACCAGTTACAGTTTCCACAGCAAACCAGGTGCAGTTACAAACAAGCTCATGCTCCATACTGATAACAATTAATAATCATCTACTCTAATCATAAATCTGCTTAAGTTGTCTTACTCCTAGAAACTGTTTAACAGACCCTTACTTCATCTTAGGTAAAAAATTACTATATCCTAGGTAACAAATCATTATATACATGCTTGACTAGATCCTTTGATTATGGTTTCCACTTTTTTCAGCACACAAACAAGGTTGCTAACTTACTTCTTTGGAGTGTTGCTTTTCTAGGCCTACTCTCCTACTAAACCTTAGCCATTCTACTACTAAAATTTAAATTGCTTTGCAACATGTCCCCTCTTTTGAGCATTCTTCAGGCTTTGCTTGCAAGGATGCTCAAATACAGCAATCTTCAGGTTGCAGTTTCCTGACAGGCAGGAGGTGGTCCATCTTGTGATGAGATTACTTCTTTTCTTGTTATAGCTTTTCATGATGCTTCTCGTATGTTGACTTTCTTTTACAATCATTCCTAAAAGACACTTGTAAACAATTATAGCTATCACAATAATCACTACAATCAATATTCCATACTGGATAACAGAAGATATCCATCCTGACACATGAAGACCTAGGGAGCTGAATAATTGTCCTATCCAATTGTGTTCTGCTTCTTTTTGCAGTTCATGAACATTCTCGTCTATATGTTCTAATTGACTAATATCTTTTTCTACTTCCTGAGTGACATTTGGGATGTGCACACAACAATACTCGTTTTTAGCATGCAGGTAGCCGCAAACTCCATGTTCCTTAAGTAATATTAGGTCTAATGCCATGCGGTTTTGTATGGTCATTCTAGAGGTGGCTTGTAATTGTAAATTTAGATCTTTAAATCCTTTCTTGGTGACTGCTGCTAACCTTTCAGTTTGTCCCATTAATTTAAACAACATTTCTCTGTTCCGGTATGTTGAGATTGGTGCAAACAGAGACTCTAATGCCCATCCAAATTTAACTCCTGCTGATGGTTCATGCCAATCTCCCAACCCCAGGTTATCAATGTCTTTACTAATTTCTCTTTTCCCTCGTGGTTGTATTTCTACTGATGTTAACTTGTCCTGCTTCCAGAATGGACAGAGAGTAGGTATCCCTAGTGTGACAGGTACAACTGGACCATCTATTGGCATGTGGGTGGTCCACTGACCATGTCCCATGACCCACACTAAATTTCCTGGGCTCTTAACTGTGGTGGTACGGCAATCAATGTTTTCGCTTGTTACCCATGTTCCAACTACTACCCATCGGAAAAATCCAGGCACTTGTTCACATTGTTTCTTAGTCATCTCATTCTTGAGTAGACATGCATCTATCATTTCATTCCATGTTTTGGTCACAAATCTGCAATTCCACGTAGTATTCTTAAACACTTTAGGAATTTCTGGTACTGGAATTATTCCCCATGGGATTGGGTCTCCTGCAGCGTGAGGCATAGGGAGACATGCAGTAATTTTTGTGACATTCTGTACTCTCCCAAAATCACGAATTAGGCCTACAACTAGGTTTTCTTGTTCTACTTCTCTATCTAGAATCTGCAGGTTACTTGCTTGTCGGGTTATTCTTTCAGTCCTTACGTGGACGACAGTAATTCCAGTATCCCACCAGTCATCTTTACTTATCCAGCAAGTATATTGGCCCTCATCTTCTCTTCTTTGTAATTTTTTTTTTTGATTTTCAAAACTATTGCGTCTGCTCTCTTTCCAATCTGATGTCTCTTCCCAACTTTCAAGTTTTGTCCTTTAAACCACCACCCATATTCAAAATACTGTCCTTCTGGAATTTTGCAGCTTAGAATCAGATCTCTTCCTTCCTGGGCCGG